ATTTAACTTTGGGTGCGGTGCGGTTAACAGCCCATGTGGTTGTGAAACTATTTCGCTTGGATGCTTCTCGGGCCTTAGTCCTTGGTCAGGCATGACTTATAGTCGTGATGGCTGGAAAGGTTGTCCCGAATATGATTACTCCAGGGGCCTAGCCTTAGCAGGCTGGGTGGGAATTTAGGATGGAAGGTTAAAGATTAAGGGTTCAGGGTAGGGTCCTAGGACCTCGAATGTCCCCGCTAGCGTAGGGTTTTGTTTAACCGAAGGAGGGCTGTATACTTGGTGTACATTTTACTATAGGTATAAAAAATGTAGGATTATCAAGGGATCATACTGCTAATTATTCAGTATTCAGGCTTCTACAGTAAATAACTTTTCGGTTCATTGCTTGGCTTCTGGTCCAGAACTTTATATTGTGCAGGGGTAGGGTGGGTCAACAAAGAGAGGGGGAGGCATGGGTACTACTAACAGGACTAGGAAAATGTTGAGGGGGCCATCATTACCCAAAAAATGCAATCGTCGCGGATCATAGTTACGTTTCCTCGTTTCCTTTGGCACTCCAAATGTCACCGAGCAGGGTGCGACAACATGTTTAAACACATAGCCCCCCCCCTTTCATGGAGGCCCCACACTAAGGCCCTAACACCTAATATGAGTACAAGAAGCGGCCACAAACCTACACAATCCTACAGATAGGCAAAAGTGACCCGTAAGTGTTTTCACAAAAACACAGATCCGAACACCACCCTTCCCATATTTCAGAATATCATCCCTATTGAGGTTATACTTCCTATACATCTCACTATATGACCCTAAATAACCCTAGGTAACGCATAAATAGCCCCATACCTTCCCCATATAACCCCATACAATCTATATACTCCGTAAACCCCAGTCCCCACCCCTAATCCCTAGACGTATAAAGGCTTCCAAGTTGCAAAAGCAGGGTGGATATATGATCCCCACATAGCCCAGTTATAATCTAATGTAGTCCTTAAGATCAATGGCAAGTTACCAAGGTACGGGCCCACCCTTAAACCCTCAGCCCCTGAACCCCTAAACCTCGGCTTCCGGCTTAGGGTATAGGGTTTAGAGTTACAATCCTATGGATTCCCACTAGGTTCACCAGTAACCCTTTATGATAAGGGTACCCGTGTTCCTAATGCTCATCTTTAACAAGGACTCCTCAAAACCAAAAAGGGGAAAAGGGTACTACTGGGATACCTAGTAGTTGCCTAAGCCCTAAACCCTAATCTTTTCCTATCTAAACCCTGAACCCTAAACCCTAAACCCTAAACCCTAAATTATAACCCTAAACCCTAAACCCTAAAGCCTAAACCCTTAAACCCCAAACCTTGCCTGACCTTTAAATGGTCAAAGACAAGTTACAAAAGTACAGTGGAGGGATGGCAGCCATGAGCTCGAGCCCGATTCCTTGCACAGCAGACAAACAGTATTAGGGTTTAGGGCTTTAGGGGTTTAGGGTTTAGGGGTTTAGGGTTTTGGGGGTTTAGGGTTTTGGGGGTTTAGGGCTTTAGGGTTTAGGGGTTTAGGGTCCAGGGTGCACCAAAAAGGGGGGCCATAAAGGAGACAACCCTCCATTGAGGTGTGGATACAAGGTAAGAAATCAACTTTTAGAGATTTTTTGGTCCCCACGAAAAATAACATGGGGTATATAAAAGGGCTCCATATCAGGTTTCAAGTTTCAAGTTCATTGGCTACATCTAGTCTTCTTCTTTGTAATTACTATTCTTTGTGTTGGTGGTTTTGTCGTCGGCGCAGCCGCCGCTGGCACATTCACGGGGCGTCTGGTTATATGGCCCTTCTTTCCGAGTGTGACTGATACTGCTATTGCTCGCATCGCAACAAAGAAATATACTTCTCCACCATCATCTTCCCCCCATGAGGAGGAACCTGTACGCACTACAGGCCAAAACAAATATGTTTTCGAAATTGGGGAACTCAGGCAGACCCTCTCAATACGAGGGGATACTAGAAGGCGCTATGTGTACCCTCAGGTGCCTTTAGAGGGGGTCATATAAGACACCTTGCCCCACTACCTATGGGAATCCGCCGTCAAACCAGCACCAAAATATGGACCCAAATTTCCGTACCAAATTTCGCGTAATGTTCTTCCCAAAATCCCTGCTATACCCCCACATATACCCGATAACTCCTCATATTTGTCTTGTTAACATCAACGCAATTTTGTAATTTCTGCTTGATGCGGAATCCCACTTAAAAACATAACCGAAGAAACCCAACAACGACACAAAGCTAAGCAAACAAAAGTTCAATCTCTGAGGAATATAAGATTTAGCAAAAACAACAACACAAATAACTAGTTAAAGGACTTTTATCACCAAAATCCAATGAACATCAGAGAGCATTGAGGTGGAAGGGCCAGAAACGACTGAACCAAAGAATGGAGAAAGCGGAAACAAGTCTGAAGAACGCCACAGAGAAGAAATATTTGGGGTTTAGGGAACCAGCACACACACACCGCATTTGCAGAAAGGTTTATACGCACTTTCCAAAACGGGTGAATTCATCCCTCATATATGCCCAAAATATCATAATATACCACAATGGGGCGCATTCAATACTATGGGGGATGGGGAAGTTTAGTATTGGGGGCAGGAATTATTTGGGTCCTTCCCCCTTGCAGTAACTGTTACCACAAGGGGTAATAAGAATTATAATAGCCCCTTAATAAGGCCCCCTATAAGGACAGTTACTGGGTGGGGGAATGACCCAAGGGATTATGTACCCTAAGGGTCCAAATACCAAATAATCATAGACTTACCCGAAACCTGTACTATAATTACTATTACCCAAAACCCAAGTACCCAATTATTTGGTACATGGACCCTCTGGATTATGTACGAGGGGCTCAAGCCGATGACCAAACGGGTTAAGATAATCTTGGATGGACGGACCGCGTTTTTTTGAATGATCACATGTATTAATGAAATGGGTTGGTTCAATGATCACATACACACATATATATATAAAATGTAATAGGCTTAGCGGTTGATTGGAATTATCAAATATGGTTATAAAATGGCTGATTCTGCTACTAATTTGACATCAATTGACGCTTGGACATCAACGAATGAATAATGTCAAGGTGGATGTGGCACTGTCGTTGGCTTTTACGACTTGTGCTTTGTTCGGCTATGTGTTTGTTTCTATGTCGGTGTCTTTTGTTTGTTGGTGCTTCCCGGCGGCTTTGCTTAACAAACAACAGAAGCTTCCTACATGTGATGTTGATATTCCCCTGTTCATGTGTTTTGTGCGTGTGCGATTTCTGCGATTGACATGTCTTGTTGTATGGCTGTGTAGCCTGAAATGCATTGTGCCAGAAAAAAAGCTTTTATGCTCATTGTTGACCCAATCGATTTAATGCGGCAGGACGGGAAAAAGGATTAAGAAGATTCCCGTAAACTGCTCTACAAACCAAACTCGACAAGCCCTGACTACTCCAATGTGGCTTATGGAAGTCGACGATGTCGTTGAAGAACCTGCCACATTGGCAAGTCGCGCTATTCAGTGGCAAGAGGGAACACACAACGGAAGAGCTTGGTTAAGGGGCTTCAGGTTCGGGCTCGAGGCGGCTTTGCATTGCTGAGACTGCCACGGCAGCCCACACATCTGTTTGCAGGAGCTCGTCTTTGTTGCTTGGTCGCTTTGCATGGCAAACACTTTCCGCAAAGTTGCGAAGCTGCTCTTGTCAGGCAATGCGGTTTTGAGAAAGCAGTAAGGGCACCGGCACAATCAATGCGGGTTTACGCGTTCACTATGCGGGCCCCTCTCTACTACCAACGAATACCAGGAAGACCCCTGCAAACAGGAATTTTCACAACCTTTCAATAAACATGTCATTATCATTGCCCGCTTCTTCCAGCACGAATCGCCGCTGCAGTCATGGCAAGCGGCAGTAACCTATGTTGCTGCCGCTTTCGTTGTGCTATCTTGATGTGGTTCCGCAATTCGGAACTATCAGGGTATTGTACAAACCAATTGGGAACAAGGAGCTGCACAAAGCTCGCTGCCACAAGTGTAGCGCGTGTTCACACAGTGAAAACACATGGCGATAAATGCGGGCCCTCTACCCAGGGCACATCACCGATGACGAATGCGAACAGCTTGGTATCGGTTCCTCCACACATGTCATTAAGTGACTGAAATCGCAGGTGCCGTTTCTCTGGAGCTTGTAATCGATCCAGTCGGAAACTGTATCGCTCCAGAATTCCCGGTTTCCTGAGTTGGGCAGGGCCAACCTACAGCACTGGTTGTTCACGACGCAGTCTCTCTTCCGGAGTGCTAGCTCGCACACACCTGAGCCGGGAAGTAGGTATATATATACATATATTTACATATACATATATATGCGGTATAGGGAGACGTTGGAGGTTACGACTTTGTGGCGGGCCCCCATGCAGGGATGCCTTTAAGGCCTGTTACGACTTCCGCACAAGCTGAAAACAACTTTCTGGTTGGAGCACGTCATTGCAGTTGAGAGATCAAGGTCTCTCGGCGGATATCCAAAGAAGCTATATGCACACAAACATTCAAAAAGTCGACAAGCTGTACGTGCTTCTTCGGGAGGTTGAAGTTTCGCATGACGAGATTGAAGGTATGCTGTTGCGGGGCAATATCGTCTACAGGGCATACCACGGCCCTATGCTGGACCTGAACTCAGGACACCAAAGCCGTTGACCCAAGTCTGTGCAACAACAAATCCTACTGCCAACCGCTGCACTACAACACTGAGCCCTAAATCCTATCCAAACCCCTGTACCCTATACCTGACCCTACCCAGAGTACTGCTTCAAAAAGCCCGGCCAATGCACCTGTTGCGCACGAACACCAACCGCTCTCAGATTTCTGAGGCAAGGACCCAAGTTGGCAGCCGTCGTATTGTCCAAGCATTCGTTCATTGTCGCCTCATCACCTGTGAGCACAGGGATTCCGAGGCAGGAATAGAGGTTACCTTGGGGCTGGGCGTATGTCGCATGTTATCTTAGTATGGGAATTGTGGCCTCTGAGACATGTTCCTGCTACAGTCAGGGGTGGAATGTGGGGATTCAGCATTGCATCCCAGCCGCAGGAACCACCGCTGCTTGACAGAAAGCCACATCCTTGAAGGACTCCACTGAACACCGCAAGTAGCGCGAGCAAAGCGAGCTTAAACATGTTGCAAGGGGCGGACAGCTGTACAAGGTTCTACACCGTTCAAGACCTTGGGCCACTTGAAGCTCTGCGGTCACGCAAAAGTCAGGAAAAAAGTCGGCCAAAACAATAAGGCTGTTGCCTTGCGGTTCGACCTTCTAGGGGATGGATTTTGCTGCTCATAAACCTGTTCAGGTTCAACTAAATGTCTTTTCGTAACATGCCCCTCGCAGAAGCAAGATTCAAACACGCCAGGCGCACGGATAGGCCAGTGTTGAAGTCGAGGTCGCCCAAGTTGCTAAAAATCCCTAAAAGTGGACGGTTGACCCCCGTCAGAGCCTTAATACTATCCAGAAGCTTCCCCCATGCACACAACGCCTCCGGGTAAAGTTTTGTTTCTTGCAGTGTATGGTTCGCGAGAATGGATTTCGTGTTCGGGACAATCGAGGAATTGCGGGGATGTAGCTCTGCAGTCAGTTTCTGGGCTATAGCTTGGCAGGGTTGAAACAGGTGGATCTTGCTGGTTTAAGATGAGCTGTATGGGTATACTGCTTGGTTTCGGCTGAAAACCATAGGGTTGGGGCCATGTCTGGTAGGGCAAAATCTTTTGTAAGTAAAGGATATAATATTGGGAAGAAAAACGAGCGAGGTCTTTTGCAAGTTAGGGATATATCGGGACGAAAATGGATTTATAGGAACGAGGGTAGGCCAAGCCACTTGAATGTGACCGTGGTGCCGCTTTTCCAGGCGACCTTGCTGTCGGATAGCAGGTATTTGGGTTAAGGGTTTAGGGGGAGCTAGGTGTTGTGCGTGTCCTGCTTTGTTCGCAGCTAAAGGTGGTTTGAAGCCCTGAAAGACATTTCATCACAAAGGCTGCTCAAGTGTCGCCTGTAGTCCCTGTAGTCCTAGCACTACCAAAGGGCTCTTATGTAGTTCCTTCTTGGGTTTGTTATGGTTTTTCGGTAAGGGATTACAATAAACTACCCACAAAGGAACTAAATAGGAGGGTCTGAAAGCGGCTAGATGGAGTGGAATGCTGGGGATACGAAGAATATCTTGCCACTTCCTTTTTTTGCACGCCATCAAGTTCCCAACTGTCGATAAACCCAAATCCCAGACCCTTGGGGGATTCTGAAAACCGGAACTCCAATTATGGTACCCTATACTACTATTGGATATTTTTTAGGAACCCTTAAGGGGGGGTCTACTTTCTAGATCCATCCAGGGGTCTGGGTAGTTCTGGGTAGGATCCGAAGCCTCTCTCCATGAAATCCCAAGCCTGCTTTGACGCTTGCCAGGCTGTCTGATTTTTTGTGTTTGGTATTGAAGGGTCCCCTGCTTGGGAAAGTGGCAGCCATGTATTCTGGGTTACCCGAAATGGGCCAAGGGTGTTTCCATGGTTAAGCGATGTGGCTGTCATATCTGGACTGCTACAAGCTTCCAAGTTTCCCTACACGCAAACCAAGGCAGAGGTGTATGGTTTACGGATATTACCCCGATGATGGAGAATCAACTGGAAGAAACTTGGACAACGGAATGAACACTGAGATTCTATAGTGAATTATGCGAGTTAGGCTTTCTCAAAATTAGGGAACTCCTTAAACTTGTGGGGTCCTCATAATAAGGACCATAGTATATTGGGGTCCATATTGGGTGCCCGTATTCGTGGAAACTTCCCTATACACATGTACATATACATACACATGTATACCTACATGTTGTCAAATTCATAGACCCACCATCTACCCAATTGGAGCCAGGGAAAGGTATAGGGGGGACCTATTTGAGGGATATACTACGAATTTAGTCCAGGGCTCACATGGCTTCTATGGGGTGGGTCTCTATTGACATAGGCAGACCTACTTCGACCTACTCCCACATTTCCTCCAGGCAGGGATGCTGCGAAAGCCGTGCAGAAGCTGGTGATGAATTCTAACCATCAACTCTCGATTCACTGCTGCTGTGGTTTCAATGTTCTCTATTTGGGCAGATGTATGCACTGATATTCGGGCATTTTGCTGGCTCCTGATACTGGTGAACTCGCCCACTCCGCGCACAAGCACAGACACCTAGTAGCGGGCCTACAAAGGCTGCATGCGTTTAAGCTTGGCCTAGGTGAGCCTCTGTATGGTGGGCGAAACGCACACCCCAAAGCCTAAGCCGTACCTGAAGATCCAATTGGCTACAAGTCATAATCAACTTTATTCTTAATTCCTACAACTGTGTACCAGAATTTCAGTCAACAAGAATCTCCGTGTAAACCTTAAAGCCCTAAAACCCAAACCTTAAGCGCTAAACCTATAGTCAACTAGAATCCAGGTCAACCTAACCCGAAGCCAAAATCAGACGTCCGGGAAACACCATCGCCACAGCCTTGTGGACAGGAGCCTGACGTGGCTGTGTCACAGAGTTATCAGGGTTTTGAGTTTCGGGTTCAAGGCTTAGGGTTTGGGGTTTAGGGTTTAGGGTCTGGGGTTTAGGGCTCAGGGTTTGGGGTTTAGGGTTTAATGTCAGGTTTGCGATTTATTTACCTAGACCTGCAAGGGTATGCAAACTACTGTGATTCCTTTTTGGGCGACGGCTTCTGGGCAATTGCTTTACCTACTTCGCAGGCTTTGGGGGTTATAGTCCCCCTTAAGTATGTCTGGCGGAGAGAAATATGGTAGTTTACCAAAATAGGGGAACCCCAATACAGACCCCAAAATACTATAATCCTTATCATTGAGACCCCCAAAAGGAACCCCATAAGTTGCGAAAACCACATGTTGGTTGAAAGAAGAAGCTTAAATCAGATGGCTTCTTATCTTAATTCGCAAGGGGTCGAGATCCAAATGGTCTTTCTTTGGGGTCAAAACAGCTTTTCGGCTGCTGCCACCAAGCTTTGCATGCGGAACGGACATCAGCTAGGCCCAGAAGCCTGCTAACCCATGTACTAAATTCCTGCCTTGTTGGGCAATTAGAACTTTGAATGGGTTCTATGGAGCAGTACTACAAAGCATCCAGTGAATCTAAGCACGCACATCTTGGTCCTTTTTCGCCTTACAACTGTTTCGTAGGCTTCCGCTGCAGACTGGGGCTTTGGGCAATACAGCTTAGGACTTCAAAGGCCCGCAAAGTTATCTATGATTAGGTTCCCTTCTACAACAATAGGGGACATTATTCAGTATCTCAAAGTGCCACCTAGTTTAGGGTTTATCATCAGAGCAGGCTAAGGCACATCTCTTGCCGGCGCAGCCGGGGTTGCCAGCAAGCTGGCAAAAGCAAAGCTCCTGGGCATCCGGAGATGCTGAGGCTTTCGAAAGCAGAGTACCAATGAACCCTCTAAGCTGGCATGGAGAACCAAACTAGACGGATGACGGGGACGCGTAGACGGTTATCTATAGGTGTGAGATAGCAAAATGCCCATGCCTTATCCAGGGTAGGCGTGTTCGGAACTTACCTGCCACTCACCGGCATTGTGACACAACCTCAAACGGCGCTACGGAGTCTGAAAGCCAGGGGACTGACATGATCAAAACAATTCTCCAGGGTATCATGCTACGAAGCATTAGTCTGTGTATAGGCTTGTAGGATATGACACAGGCGTCGGTTGGCTGTCTTACAACGGACCTCCCCTTACCCAAGCTCAACATAGTACCCCTTATGTATGTTCAATTAATGTCTCTTATCAGGGAGTGGGGTCAAAAACGTTCACGAGCTTGGGGCCCTGTTTCCACTTGCAACCCGGCAGCTTTAAGGTTTAGGGGGCCTCAAAAACTGAAAACAAGGATTATGCAGCGCGTGGCTTAAAGAATCCCACCTATGTCGCAGCATCTCAAACTGCTTCCGCAAGATTCCATCATGCTGCTAAAGTTCATAGCAACACAGTTCTAATAGTACTGAAGTACTGAAGTTCATCCTGATGACTGCGAGACCTTTACCGCCAGTCCTGCCGATGACAAGAAAGCAAACAAACAGACTGGCAACTGAGTCTTCGTATTCACAGCCACACCCGTTGGAGGTACATTTTTTTCTCAAAGTTGTTCTCAATGTCGTGATCGCAGCAACGTGGTGCAAGTAGTGAAAATCAACCAGACTTGACCTTGAGCAGGCTAACCAAGAATTGGAATAACATCTAATATGAATAGTAATAATGATAAGGACCTGTTAGCAAATGTTTCTGTGTT